GGTCCAACACTTGAGCATCTATCTGAAACGCATTTCCGAAACACAACAGCAATATGTCAGGGTTCGAAGTGACAGGTTTTGCGAAGTTATCCAGCCAGGAAGGAATGTATCAATCTATGTGCGTCATCCTAGTGATATTTAATAGTAGTAGGGAAACAATATAAAAGACTTGAATATGCCTTCGCCGTCGAGTAGCTAGTACTGCATCAATTATGATGAATATCGTTAGATATCTGTGTAAGTTTAGTGTATGGACTACTGGTCTTGTATCCTTTGTTAAGAAGTTAGCTAATAGCTATGATTACGAATTCTAGAGTTTACAAATAACTTCATTAAGTATTTTTACCCTTCCCTTCATACTTAGCTACTTTTTTCACGCCCCTTTTATCTCCTTTCATAACTTACTTTGATACTCCTCCAACTCTACATCTCTCGCTATCTTTATCCTTCCATCTAACTTTAGCTTTGCTTTGCTTTGCTGTTTTGGGACAAGTCAACTCCTGTACTATCCGCTTCGAAGTCGAGGAAATTCGGTTCCATCGGGAGATCATCCCTATCCTCTAGTCCGGGACCATCACGTGCGTTTATACTCTCAGCTTTTAGACTTTATGGCATCCTTCCATGCACTACTGATCGCGCCCCAGTACCTTTCCGGCTCCTTCCTCATATGGCTTACGTGGTCTGAGTTTTCAAACAGTTCCGTCTCACACTTAAACCCTTTCTGCCTGGAGTCTGCAACATGCTGCTCTACCTCCTTCCACAGAATCAATCTATCCTTCTTCCCGTAGAGATAAAGTCTTGGTGCACTCGTAGTTGCCCATTTCGTGCTGTTTGGCCCGGCCCGGAGACGGAAGTCCACGTCGTTCGTTCCCGTGAGCACTGCGACCAACCACCGACCACCTGTGTATAGTGTGTAGAGAAATATCATGACGATGATGGGAAGAGGGGAGAGATCTCTCCATTCATAGGCAAGTGCAGTCGCCCATGTCACTGGCTCAAAATCCGACGAGCCCGGCGTGGAGTCAAGAACGAGCAGGGTATAGGGTAATTTTTCGGAAGGGTTGCCTGTGAACTCCTGGTATGCCCTGAGCAACGTGAGATAACCCACAATGCCGACGTTGGACATCGCTTGAAGCAGGATGCGCTCGTCAGCTGTCTTTCCGGATCTGAAGATATACTCAAGAGCCGGCATTATAGCCTCCGTTTGTGCTTTGTATGAGTGGTACATTGCCTGGGACATTGAGCCAGTGACTAGGATGATGCGCGCCGTAGGGAATAGTGCGCGATACCCATCCACGTATTTGATGATATGGTTTGGAAGGGCACTCCCCCACGAGAATAAAACGATAATTGTAGGGCCATTATTGTTAACAGATTGCGGTCGATTGCTTTCTAGTCGCGTGTCCGCTGGTTCAAAAGCGAATATGTTGCCAGAGAGCGGCTTGGATCCGGTGATGAAATCTTTGGTTTGCGTCTTTGCCATCGTTCATGCTGTGTACAGCGGTGAGTAGTGTTGAAACAAGAGTGACTATGTGTAAGTTGCCATACTGAGACAGAAAGGAAACACTCATCTTGCGGGGGAATGCCAATCTTATATAAACCTAAAGCCATCACTTGGCAGTTGACAATGCTGTAAGACTCATCGATGCTCATTGGCTTTAAGGATTAGCACGTATAAGACCAATGGAAGTTGGGGAGTATCGCGTACATGTAATGAGGGTTGCAAGTACAGCTCTGTAAGTACCAGGGGATCTCTTAGCTGATTTTAGGCTCGTGTGGGTTAGCTTAGCTCGCCTAGGTGTCGAAAGCTCCTGGCATAGGGTCCACGCCATTCCATTTTGGGTTAGTCAAAGTCCGGGCTGGCCAATCAGTGCGCTCTACAAAGCAGCCAGACTTCCGAGCATGAATGTCTTGGACGATTGATGACAGGATTTATTGGCGGAGACTAGAAAGCGGCGTTTTCATCATCTCACAACTCCCATTTTTGCGAGACGGAAGCATTGATTATTGACGTTTTTCTTTTGTGCGAATCCGCATTTGGCTCCCGTATGGTCTACAATGGTCTCACACTAGAAACAATGTGATCATGGCAACCACCTTGTCAAGCGACGCATCTCGCTCTCCTACCCACTCAGGCGGGAGAAAAGGTAGCACCAAAGTGCGAACGGGCGAGTGACCCTATCAGGAGTGTCCTATAGCTTGAGATAGATAAAGTATCCCCGGTTTTATCTGAAGGGTCAACTAACGGGGGCGTCTCCAGGCTGTCTGACCTGCAAGTAAGTCTGCACTGCTAGATCTGACCTCACATGAGCACCTAAGCGTGGTCTAATGCAAAAGACATCTTGCAGGCTTCGAAAAGTAAAGTGGTAAGTTTGTCTTCTGGTAATAAGTGGGAGCTACACGGACGCCACGGCCGTGTTATGTTCTTTGCAACGGTGGTTCCCACCTCCAACACTTCCGTCTCCTTTTTCTGAGCACCTGTGCGGTGAATAATGAGCTCCATAGCGACGAGGGAAAGCCAGTCTGTACTAGATGCACCCAGACTGGTCGGAAATGCGATGGTTATGCCATACCCAAAACTAGGCTTGACGCTGGAAGCGTACTCAATCCTAACTTGTCCATTTCAACTGGACTGCGGACTGGGCCTTCTTTCGATTCAGCTCACGACCATCGGGCTTTCCACTTCTTTCACTCCGTTACGGCTCCAAGCCTCACGATAGATCATGACGCAAGCCTGTGGACTTCAATTGTCCCTAGGCTTTGCGAGAGCGAACCGTCCATTCTCCATGCTATGCTTGCCGTGAGCACCGCATTTGAGAAGTTGACTTCCAAAGAGCCCGTGATAGATCCCATTCACACGAAGAACGATCCAATGGTTTTAAAGCAATACAATAAAGCCATATTTGTCCTCCAGAAGCACCTTGCGACAAGGGGCCCGGAAGACCTAGTTACTCCTCTGATCACATGCATACTGTTTGCTTTGTTGGAATGCATACGAGGAAGGAATAAAGTTGCTCTTCTGCATCTGCATCAGGGACGCAAGATTCTAGCCAGTCTAAACGACGGACGACACATACCCAAATCAAAGCTGGACATAATACACGAGGATATTGCTCCGGTTTTGATTAGGTTAGGCGTCTCATCTTCCTTGTACGGAGCTTATTCGTTGCCCGTCTCAACTGGGCTGGCTACGCATTTCGAAACATCTACATTTCGGTCCATCCATCAGGTCAGCAGCGGCTTTTATATAATATCAGAGGAAGCAATACGATGGCGAATGCTGCTCAAGGCAGATCGGCAGCGATCCGATCGGTTACCAACAGACTTTTGTTACAAAATACCATCTAATAATCTACCACGACCAGTGCTACCAAATGGCAGAACAGCAGAACAAGAACAAGGCTTATTGAAGTTACGTCTGTCTCGATGGTACTCGGCGTTTAGCATTTGGCTGGCTACATCTCCGGCGCGATCTAAGTACAAGCGCTCCCTACTTCTTTTTGAGATTCACTGGCACACGGTTTCTGCATGGGTAGCTACAGCATTGTCTGATCAAGAAACTGCGTGGGATGGTCAACTGGACAGGTTCAGCGCTATGGTGCGTCTGTGCTCTGAATATCTGGAATGCGTGGAGTTTAGCCAGGAGACGGGGAAGCGCAAGGGTTCTGACAAGTCCTCAACCGGTTTGAAACCGGTAGGTTTTCCTCTGGCAATATCAAAGTCGCCTATTAATCATATCCAGACATTGGATGCAACGCCATTTACCTTTGAGACTGGAATTGTCCCCAGTTTGTTTCTTGTCGCAGCAAAATGCCGACATCCTCAAATCAGGCGCACAGCAGTTGACTTGCTTCTAAGGAACACCTGGCAACGGGAGAACATCTGGAGATCTGTGGATATTGGCCTCATTTCCTCATGCATCGTGGATGTCGAGCTGCGAAACACATCTTGTCACTGTGAAGACAATGCCCCGGGCCAAGTACAAGCAGCAATCAAACCTGCCAACATCACGCCGCCGTTCGCAGCCGCCTCACCTGATATAGAAGAGACCAGAGCGAATTCACCGTGTCTTTGTTCAGTAGCACCGTTCGGTATACCTGAAACTCTACGGATTTCTGATATAGAAGTTGGGCGGTACGACGGAAATGGTGTGTGGCTAACTTTGTTCATGAACACCACTGGGCCGGAAAGCGAATGGACGTCGTGGCAGGAGTATGTCAAGACATAGGCACACTCAGAGATATACAAGTCGCGTTTCTTTCTTAATTTCATGGAGAGAGTAACTTTATGATAAATCTACAAAATCTAGTAAAAATCTAGGTTCGGACTTTCCGTATATAAGGCATCTTCCTCGACGAGGATGTTAGAAGCAGTTTAGTAGCTGTTGAATTAGACATCAGGTCATTGACTAAACTTACCTTGGACTCAGTTGATATGACACGAGGTGGGGATGCGGAAGTTGGGTAGTTGGAAACCTGATGGGTAGTTTTCTACGTAGGCACATCATTTCCATCATCACTGTTCAATTTTGCAGGGAGGATGCAAAAGTGTAAGTTGACTGTTTTAATATTGAGTTGCGGGCGCCAGCTATTTAATACAAGCGGTGCTCCGCGTTTCATAGCATTTCCCTCCAACCCACTCTTCAATAAGACCCGTTGAAAGCTGTCCTCCGCCCGACAACGACGACAACAGGGGCGTCCACTCTAAAACTAAAACTGCAAGCCAACATAGCTCATCATATCATCAAAAGAGCCGCCAGGCATTGACCGAACAAAGCCTGTAACAGAGGAGGAAAAAATGTCTTCAAATAGAGTTGCCCGTTCCCTTTTCTCTCAACAAGATACATGTTCCCGAGATAATGTGTTTCCCAACGCCGATGTGAGCTGTAAGCCAAATGTTCTTATCCTTATGCACAAAGAAAAGGGTAGGAGATATAGATGTGAGGAGGAGATGAGACGAGTTACGTCAAATGAGATAGGAAGCATTCCAGTCAAGAGAGATTATACGTCAACAGTGAGCATCTCTAACCTCGAACATATCGAGTCAAGGCGAGAGCTGATCTGTTGTACGCGTGCCATGGCAATGGCGGCCGTGGCCTCCTCCTCTGTAGCATCAACGAGTTCGTACCGCGCGAGCACCTTCTCAGCCTCAACACCGCCGAAGATCTCGACGTGCGACAGGCTGTCGGTGTCGAGTTCAACGAGCTCCTTAGACTCGACAGCTGGAGAGGTGGCAGCAGTGCCGTGGTACAGAGCATAGTCGGGATCGTTCTCGAACTCCTCGTCAATGATGACCGGGGCGGCAGGAGCAATGACCTTCTCCTCAACTGGAGCTGGGCGCTGGATAACTGGCATCTCAACCTTCTCATCCTCAGAGTCGAAGTGCTCGCCAACAAAGTTGGAAGTCTTGCCTGAGAGGACAGATGCGTCGAGGGCTGGGACATCAGGGGTCTCGATTACAGAGTAGACCTGTGGCTGGAAGTTGAAGGCATCGGTGTCAAGGCTGAGCATGGAGAAATCCATAGCCTGCTCAGGGATCATGGCCATGCCGATCTGCTGCTGACCACCATACGGGTTGACATCCTTAGGCTGGCGAGGCTCTTGCCTCTGCTCCACCTGTGGCGCGGGCTGAGTCTGAGGAATCTGAGCAGGGTTTGAGCTGAGGCGGTCCAGGAAGTCTGAGAATGATGGTGACGAGAGAAGCATGCGAGTCAAGTCGGACAGTCTCTTGTTCTCGTCAATAAGAGCACGATTCTGTGCACGGAGATCGCCGTTCTCGGTGACCTTGCCGGCAATCTCGGACTCAAGTTGAGTGATGTATTCTGCGGTAGTGTTAGCCAATGCATTGGTAAACATGAAAATGGGGAAATTGTCTTACCCTTTCTCCTTGATCGGAAAGCGCGGGCGGAAACCTTGTTCCGGAGTTGACGACGCTCCTTGCTGCTGAGCTTCTTGCCTTCCTCGCTAGCTAGGAGTCTCTCGTCCTCATCCATGTCATCCTCGTCCTTTCTCGGGCGGGGAACCTGCAATAGAGGAACGTTGCCCTGACCGTCAACTGATGAGGGCTTGTTGCGCATAGAGTTTAGCAACTGGCTGATCTTCTGCTCGACGATAGGGTCGGATGGCTGAGCACCCTTGGGTCTCTGCTGCTTGACCTGGGCATTCTGCCTCTGCTGGTGCTGTTGCTGGATGATCTGCTGCTGATGTCTCTGCTGGGCCTGTGCCTTGGCAAGGGCAGCTTGCTGATGCATACCGGGCCACATGCGGCCGACGTTGGTAGTCTGGGTCGGGATGACCGGAGGCGATGGTAGGCTTGACTCCTGGCCGCCGATGGCGTTGGGGTTAACGGTGGGCTCGGGGAAGAAGAAGTTGGGCTCGGCAGCCGGCGAGTCGAACTCCATATCCATCTCGGAGGTACCAATAGTGTTCTGAGACGGCGAGGTGTTGAAATCGAACTGGTTCTCGATGCCGAGATAGGAGTCGATGTCGAAGCTGGAGTAGCCGGGGACCTGAGTATTGTTCTGGTTCACGGCCAGCGTGTTCGCCAGGGCACCGGGGACGATGCCGGTCTGCTGCTTGTAGAGATCATATTGATGGCTCGGGCCGTTCATCGGCTGAGCTGGTGGTAGCAGTGTTCCCTGGGTGGTGGCAGTTGTCGTCGGTCTGGTGAAGGGAGCCTTTCCGTTGGCCGGGGACAGCGAGGGCGATTGATAGTTGCCGTCGTCATACTGAGAGAAGTCGAGCATTGACTCGAGAGGGTCGACCATGCCGTGCTGCGATGCAGCCGGACTCGTCGACATGCTGTTCTTGTTGTTGGACATGCCTCCGCCTAGTCTCTTCTTTTGCTCCTACAATGCCTGTTTGAGTCTCCAAATGATGCGGGCTGGTCAACACCAGGAGCTAATGATGTGGTGGCGACTTTCGATGGATGTTTGTATTACTCGAGTGGGCGAGCGATTAGCGACAGGATTGATGATATAATGGCGGTCGTCGAGAAGAAAGAGCGGATGTTGGAGGGATTGTGAATGTTTTGTTTGATGTTGAGGGAAAAGAAAGGAGGAAAGAGCAGAAGGTACAAGAGATCCGGTGGTGTTGCGGGACTGATGAGTTTGAGTAGTAGGGCCACGAGTCGAGTCGGCGGGATATGGATCGGACGGAGCGAGACGAGGGCGAGACGAAGAGAAAGGGACAGACAGCAAATGGTTTAGTGGGAAAGGTGGTGGGCGTCTGGTGCCTGCGGTGGGCGGAGCCTGCTTAGAGCGACTCCCTTGGCTGGGCTTGGCCTGACTTGGCCTGGTTTGGAAGGCCCCGACGCAGCCTGGCAAGGGTCTGGTGTGCTTGGGAGGGGAGGGACGCGTAAGCCGATGCGAGCGTCACCCAACCCAATGCCAGACGTAGGTACGTAGGTACGTAGGTACGTACTCCTTCTGCACTCTCGACTTCCCAGACTCCAGACCACCACCGATTCCGATTCCTACACCACACAGTCCTGTGCAGCGGAGCGAGACCGACGGGACCGAGGGAGCGCGCTGCACCAATCACTGCTCCTCTTCGACTGCTCTTTCGCTTCTGGCCTGCTTCCAACGGCTTCCTTTCGCTGCTTCTCTGTGGTACGACCCGTACGAGAGGCACAGCCGGCAGCCTGTCAAGCCCGTCCGAAGCCCGTATACACGCAGTTACTTGCAATCCGCCGACCGCTGTGTACCTGCAAGTTGGCTGTGCTACGCCTACTTTGCTCAGGTACCACTGGCCTGTTTCCAAGACTTTTGCTCACCACCTGCGGCCTGAGGATGACGACGCCTACTGCCTTTCTGGGCTCCAAAGCGAAGCCTCTAATCGGTGATGATGACAGCGCTGATGCCAACCAGCAGGAACCAGATGTCGCGATGGTGCGCGATATCGCCGATTAGATGCACGATTGATAAACAGCTACGACTATGCAGACGACGACGACGAGCGTCAGTGACGACTCTTCTGCAGGCAGGCAGGTTAGAAGGGTTTGGCTTTTGCTAATGTGTGAATAATCGGTGAAGCGATCTTGATCTGACTTGACTGACGATCTGATGGATGGGTGTCCCTGGGCCAGCAAGGAGTTCGATCGTCGGAGAGTAACAACAGATTCGTTTGGGATGGCGGGCCTGAACTCTATTCTCCCCCTCGCTGCTTATTCCGGCGGTGCTGTTGAGCCTGGAGGATCAATGGGCTTTGCTGGCAATGACCGAAGAACGAGGTGCGGAGCTTTCAGCGGGCCCGACGGTGGTGCGAGGTCTTCCGCGAAGTAGCAGATACCTGGAACGAGCCGAAACTGCCTAAGGATATCGCGACAATGTTGGTGGACTTTCGTACCGGATACTTGCGACAGTTGTTCCTCAGGACCGTAGATTTGCGGCGGGATTGTATCAGTTGCGGTGCTCTGGCTGCCAATGAGGCGGGTGATCTGCCTACACAGCCGCTGCAGTTCAAATGAGATGGATTCGAGACTTTTTGACGAGATGAGCCCGAGGAGTCAGCGGCGCCTTTTTGAATCTGTAATTCCAGCAACCCCTTTCTCGATGGTAAACGGGTACGCTCTGCATAACAACTATAGCCATGGTCCGGGCTGTGATCTTTTCGGTCATGCTGAGCCCAGAAAACACGAATCTTGACAGCGTGAAGCTTAACATACACCCCGGGCACCGCCCACATTCCCACAGCTCGTCTCTCAGGTCCAGGGTAGACACCGTGCTACACACCTGATCCAGCAATCGTCGCCGGCTGCAGAGAAGAAGCGGCATTGTGGTACTTCATGCGCAAAGCAATTTTGGCGAGCAGTGCTCGTATCGCGCGGCTTCGGCGTCCAAGTCAGGTGGACCGCAAACTCGCAGCGAGAACAACCATCATTTCCACTCCTTGACCCTGCTGAATTCATGCACAGCCTCCACCAGACACATGCGATAAGTCGCAAGCATTCCCTCCACGGTTTAGCCGATGGGGACGCATAGCAGCAAAAAACGACTGGTATTGGGGCTACAGTGGCCAATTCTGAGCCCTCCAGGGCCATAGTAGATGACCTAAAGCAGAGAGCCACATTGCTGTCGCTCAACCGGTTCTGAGAAACACCAGACACCAACTAACACAACGCCACTGTCTCCAATGACTTGGAACGATGGAGACACCTCGGGATGGCGCCCATGTTCTCTCACTGGCAGAGACGGACGGAAAACTGGGATGTGGGCGGCGTTTCGTAATGCCCGACTCGCCGCTCCACCCACTGAGTGCCTGGACCCGGTCCCCACTTGCCAAATGCCGTTATGCCAATGATCAAAGACCAAAACACCCAGAAGAGCTCCTCTAACAAGGCTGATAACTCTTGTTCCTGGCGATTGCGACAAAAATAGCACCATGCCTTGACATCGCGTTCGGTTGTTTCATCATCGTCTCTGCTTCAGACCACTCAACGAGCATATAGCCCCACCGGAACGCCTTTTTCACGCCGCTGAATCAGGCGACCGTTCAAGCTTTACAGAGAGGCTTGTCTGCCCTTGTGGGACTGCCGTTGCTTACAGGGCCTCGTCTTCGTGGAGATCCTTAGCTAAATTCTCTGCCTCCACGAAAGGAAGGAGGCGATCTTGAGATGAGTTATGTCCGGCCAATAACTGCAATCGCGACTTTGCCTCGGCGTGTGGACTGAGAAAACCTTGAAGAACTTGCTCAGTAAACAAACATTTCATCATAGCACAGCGTTCGATACCAAACTATGAGAAACTCCGTCCCATTTGCTGTGTCTAGACCAGAGTGTTGATATCGCCCATTCCAGCCAGAGCAGCAGCCCCACGAACCCCCGAATGGCGTGTTGCTCGGCCTGACATCTTCACTGTCATTCCTCATGCCCTTGTCAATCGACTGTGTTGACTCCTTCTCAGCCCTGTAGTTTGGGCTGTCCAAGTTGGGGGCAGCCCCGAAGCAGGGTGCAGTCCGTTTTCAAGCAATTATGCCATGCCATCGGCACCTCAGCCTCGCACCGACTTTGCGCATCGCATGAGTGAGCCCTCGAGATAAGACGAAGGGATCTACAATAATCTCCGATATGCTCAGACGCCTGCCCAGCTGAAGAGGTCTCGATGGGCTTTCTGCTGCATGTGGGACACTGGGAATAAGGGGCTCAGATTCTGGAACTGCCCCACGACCGCGGCCACTACAGCGCTACGAGTCAAGCGCCCTCACATTAATCCAGCGGCTCTCTCCGTCTAAGCCATCCCTGGGTGACGAAACAACGAAACATTTTTTTTCTTTCCATACTTAGGTCGCCCCGGGTTGTGGGAGGCATTCCGTTTACGGCATGGACGATGATGCATGAAACCTTCTCATTTTCCCTGTTGATCGAGAGAAACATTTCTCGCCAGATCCCCGCATACTCCTTTTTTTAAACATTCTCGTCGAGTCGAGATCTGGGTTTGCTATGTGTATTGCGCTGAGAAAAAGGAGACAGTGGAGATCTTCGGGGGTTTGCTGATCCCTGGTGGGCTCCCTCCCTACTGTAGCATCCCCCAACTGCCGAGGTCGCACTGCCGGGCAAGGGAAAGACAGTGGTCTCGCCGCCACAACGGCACTTGACACGTCACGTGGACCAATGCTGCCGATCGCTGTGGCTGTGCATTGCCATTGATATCATGTCTCTCTGCCTTGCATGGCTTCCCAGACAAGTGTCATTGGACGTTGGACGTAATTGAGATTCGCCAGGGAAGAGTCTCGCTTCCAGGACTGATCCTCTTGCTATGGTTTAATCTAGTCAAGATGATTACCGAATTTCATGTTCTTGTCTTTTAATCATGTTCACTGCTTCTAATCCTTCACTCTGGAGATGAACCAGATGAACCAACGGTAGGGTAAGGGGCTTATTTCAAGTTGCTGATTGAATGTTGACTATGCAACGCAATCCAGATGATATGTAGTGGCCGTCTGCCCCTTACTGCCCACTCTTTCATATCTTGGCTTCTCTCTTCGATGCTCGCAACCATGTCTGCGTCAAGAAATTCGTATCTAGGAGCTTGACTCAACCACATCGCCCGTTCCAAACCCATAGTCCTCCTCCAGTATGTTCCCCGCAACCTCAACTGGCTTCGAATCCTGCAGCACGAACAGGACACGCGCCCAATCGGTTTTGCTGGCGTTTCGCCAAAGGTGCTTCGTCCCACGCTGGATGCCGACATCGCCTCGCTGCAACGTTCTCACTTCGCCGCTGTCCAGTTCCAGCTCCACGGCCCCTTCGATGACCACCGCATAGTCGAGCGACCTGGTGCGGTGGAGAGGGCTTGTGCTCGATGGCTTCAAGTCGATCATGCTCAGCACCGTGCCACATGGGATAGTGAACCCTGGCCCATTGACCAAGTAGCTCTCGTAAGTTGCCAGGTCTTTGCTTAGGTCGGCTGGGAACTCATTCGTGGCATATTCGAGGTACATGGTGTCTCCAGTGGGGATGACTTGTGCAGGGACGGTCTCCGGGATGTGCTTGTTGAAAATTGCAAGGCCCTCAGCATTGTGATCAGTTATGAATCGATTAGTCTGTCGCAGACTATCGATGGGATGCTGTTCCGCCATGATGTTAATAATTACCTTTGTTCGATATCTGGGTGATAACTTTTCACGCACGCACTGAACCGGAGAATATCTGAGCCGGAGGTAATATTCAAGTGACAATTCATTGTCTTTTATGTACCTTGCTCTAGACTTTCAGGCTATTCCTCGTCTTGGATACAAGAGTACAAGCCGAGCTATCTTCAAGCAGTCAAAATCTCTATACCAAAGAGACTGAAGCTAGGTCGTAGAGAATCGTGAAAGCAAAGTCACTAAACTTCAGGTCGATCATAGCAGCGGGCGGTGGTAGACCCGAGCTGATCAAGCGTTTGTGCTGTAATGCTACCCGAATCTTGCCCTCGCAGAACTGTAGGCAACCCGCCGCCTTAGCAGGGGCTAAACAGGTGTAAAGCAGGTGAGGCACGTGGAGGGCCAGGGTGCCCCACGAATATGGTTTAGTGAAAATGGCAGTGCTCTGTGGCTTGTAGCAGCCTATTATTTTAATTAAGAGTTCTTCCCAAATGTGCTGATAGGGAGCTGTTTTGGGTGACTCTAGCTCGAAGGCAAAATCAGGGGGCTATAGTCTACCACCATTTGATGATGGTGTACCAATATCCTATATAAGATCTAAGGGTACGCTTTTCAGCTCTCTGGTGCCTTCAAATTGCTATTTCATTTCATTCCTTAGCTATTGCTCGTAACTATTCATAATTCTTCTCGTGAACCTTCAGGACTACCCCCTTATAGAGGCCAATGTCACATTATGGGCATATGCTTCTTCCATTCTATCTAGTTCTCTTTATATAATACAAGATAATTAGAAATATACTAGGCATTAGATCTGTAAAACACAGAAAGAAGACTGCAAAGATAAATAGGTACACATGCGGCATCAATACTGTCAATGACGATCCCACACAATAAGCAATTTTGGATTATATCAAGGATATATCATATACGAAACAACTAAGTCTGTAGAGCAATTTTTCCCCTTCTTCTTTTTCTTTTCTTTTACGACCAATCGCTTCATTATAGCCGGCAGATGTAAAAGATAGATTCAAAGGAGAGCATCCTAAAGCGACCATATATAATCTAAGATATCTTAAACTCTGTGCCAAATATGTAGCTATAACTAGTTCGAGTACCCTTGGCGTTGATAGAATGGCAACTGTACAGAAAATTCGCATCTATTTGTTACGGCCAGAAAACAGGCCGCCGCCAGGAACC